AAACCATGGTTTTGGTTTTTGATGGGGTGTTTGGATTAGCATTTTGTGTAAAACCATGGTTTGCAGTGCATCCAACGTGCCTAAATGGTCCGGAAGAGCTCTGGCGTCCGAGTTACCTTCTTACGGAGATTCTCGTATTAAACACCGATATCATCATATCAAATCAAGACATCACAAATTTGAGAGGCAGTGATGATCAAGCTGTTCGATGCACACTGTCACCTGCAGGACTCCAGAATTTTAAGTAAGACCCCTCAATTGGTCAAGGCAGCCCAAGATGTTGGAGTTGTGTGCTTTGCGGTTAATGGAGTTTCCGAGAAAGACTGGCACCTGGTTAAGGAGATGAGCGAAAACCATCCTTCCGTCATTCCCTGCTTCGGTCTCCACCCATGGTCATTTCTAATATCAGTATCGTCGTCGTTTCGCTTGTTCATTGCGTTTCCTTTTTTGGTTGAGTACTTGAGTTGATTCGGATGGCCATAAAGGATTTGGGACTTCTCTGCAGGTTTGTCGCGCAGAGGAGCCCCAGTTGGTTCAAGACCCTGAAAGAATATTTTGATGCTACACCCTCTGCTGCAGTAGGAGAGGTGCCTCTCTCTCCGTTTTAAAATTCCGTCTATTGATTAATTTCCATGATTCCGGGGAATTGTAGAGTTCACTTGTAGCTGTGGAGACTGCTTTACTATCCATAGCTTCTTGGACGTACCTAGTGCTTGTGCATGCATGGTTTCTAGTCTTACATACAGGCGTTAAAATCTATGGACGCTTTTGGGGCTTGCGTGTATGCGTAGCTGAGATTTCTTATGATGGGTTCATGTGAATTGACTGTAGCAGCGTGTGTTACTGTGACTCCAGTATTACGTGCTTAACCGCTGTTGTCATAGATTGTTTTACTTTATTTCAGATTGGTGTGGACAAAGGATCTCGTGGAAGGCAGATTGATTTCTCAGAGCAGGTTTTATCATCTCAAGTGTTCCACTATCCTCTTTTCTTTCAGCTGTCTCTGGAGTGCTTCCCCCCCCCCCCCAAAAAAAAAAATCTCAGTGTTCTGGAACTCTTGATAGCTTCATCGGTTCTCTTGGATGAAAGCACTGATTTGGCTTTCTCTTTCATATATAATACCGTAATAGGAGGGTGGATTCCTTGACGGTTTAATAAAGATTAGGAAGTAGCTTCAGCTTTCATGTTCTGTTCATTCTTTTGCTTGAAAATATTTGCTAGATTTTTGCTAATGTGTTGAGACATCTCTGCAGGTTCACGTATTACGGCAGCAACTTGAACTTGCGAAAGAGTTGAACAAGCCAGCATCTGTCCACTGTGTTCGAGCTTTTGGTGACCTTCTAGAGCTGATGAAGTACGAATACTGATATCTCATCTTTTCCTGTTTCTTTCAATTGTCAGTTCCAAAAATTGTTTAATGACGAGTATAAGTAAAAAAAATTTCAAATGTAATTTTTTTCCAGATTGCTTAGTTCTGCTAAAGTGAATTCTCATTTTAAGCCGTCTACTTTGCATTATTCCTTTAAAATTTCAAAATTTCCAGGTCCATTGGGCCTTTCCCTGCCGGTGTCATTCTCCATTCCTACCTAGGTTCTGCCGAGATGGTTCCCGAATTTTCCAAGCTGGGTGCTTACTTTTCCTTCTCTGGGTTCCTTATGTCACTAAAAGCAAACAAGGCGAAGAAAATGCTGAAGATGGTAATGTTCATAAGCTCTGAAATGTGATCAATCTTACAATCTCTTGTATGTCAAGACTGTGACTGGTCTTAACTTCATATTCCATTTAGGTATCATCTGATAGGATTTTATTGGAGACAGATGCCCCAGATGCTCTACCAAATTCAAACATAGATTCTGTCTTTTTAATTGAAGGAGATGCTTCTCTCCCTGAACATATGCGTGGCCATTCAACTCCATCAACTTCTGGCTCCTCCACAGATGCCTCAATTTTGCCAAAAGAAACGCTTAATCATCCAGCAAACATTCGCAACGTATGTGGCTTATATAATCATCTTTATTGTTATCTTGTTTATTGTAGAGAAGCATACCCTTTTTCCCATTATTCACTTGCAGTTAGAAGTTGAGTTTTACTGACAGTGATTGCATGAAATCTTCTAACATGTTAACTTGCTTTCTTGGAGATAACAACATGTCTGCTAAAGACGATCGTTTTTGACATATTTAATACGTATGAATGAATGGTGCTTGCATGTGCGTGGCTGTGTTTAGGAAGAAGAAATTTAAAATCAGAAAATGAAGAGGGATAAACTATGAATTACAATTATTTGGTGTAGAGAGTAATAATTTTGTTTAGACACTGAGGTCTTCATTGTACATGCAGGTGCTTGATTACGTTGCATCCCTGTTAGAGATTTCTAAAGAAGAACTTGCTGAACGAAGTTACCAGAATGCAGTCCGTCTATTCTCATACGAAGGTTCCAAGGTCCTTCAAATGTGATCAAAATCACGACCAGAGGTTGTTGGTTGCTTGTCTTGGTTTGCTTATGTTAATCTGCCTGATGGCCTGCCAAATTTTGTCAACTGCAAGATGTGAATGAATTGATTAACGTTGGCGATACCAAATTATTAGCCATAAAATAAAGAGGACCGTTAAAGAGGAATATGTAGATGACAAATACCATGCACAAATTATTCGAATTGCTCAACAAATTACATCAACCCCGGTAATGAATATAGACTAAAAGTGGAATTAATGTTTTGTTTAATATTTTGATGTAAAATATTACGTGATAATTTCAGCTGTTATTGGATCAATGACAAGAGTATTAACTACTAACACTTCAAAAAATCAATTGGATTAAATCACAAAAAATGCAATGTGCCGTTCAATTTTTTTGAGTCTCTACTTCAACTGATGGGGTGGACCAAAAAACAAAAAAGATATTCTAACTGAGGGCAATAATTCTAATTTTTGTAATTACTTTCTTCAACGTCCTCATTCAGTGTTAGTAGTAGTTGACATTATCTAAGAACAGAGCAAAGCCGGGAAAGAGAAGAAGAAGGAGGGGCGAATCTATGGTCAATCTCGGTTCATTGTGAGCTAGGAATTAATCAGGCCAGGGAAATGCCCACATCAGTTGGGCGGCGTACGAGAATATCCTACAAGAGAGTAAAAGGAAAAACTCAACGAAATTCTCACAATGGGTTGTGAGTATTCGTAAATGATACTTATCCGGTCCTTAATATAAAACCATTTAACTAATTTGATTACATTAAGAAGTTAGGTAAGTTAGTTATTATAAAAAATGACACATTTTTCTAAAATACATAATCATCTTTCTTAATACCCCTCTCCCTCTTCTATTTGATTATGGTTGAGGGAGTATCCATGGGGTTAATTTAGAGAAAATTGATAAATATGATAAATAGTTCTTATATTTAGGACCAAAATCAACTCAAGAATTGGGTCCTATATTAAGGACCAAAAGAGTACTTCTCTAATATTAAATGTAAGATTCTTATACACACTAATATAAGAGTCTTATATTTAGGACCAAATGAGTATTTTACTGGCATGTCCTGATTTTGTGAGCCCAGTCACTTAAGTTTTTTTTTTTGTTGAAAAAAAAAGAAGAAGATAAAACTCGACGAGATCTCAGAGAAGTTTAAGAAAAGGAACCGATGTAAGTTCATAATCGTAGAACACACACTTGCTTTCCCATACGCCACGTTAGATCTTTCTTAAAAAAATAAAAGTCAACGAAGTAACCATTTCGCTATGGTCTATCTGAATCCAAGGCGGAAATGGTACCGTGTAGAAGCTACCCCATTGGTTCGTGAAGATCATAGTTTGAGAGGGTTGAGAAGCAGCGATGATGAAACTGTTCGACGCCCACTGTCACCTGCAGGACCCCCGAGTCTTAGACAAGGCACCCCAACTCATTAATACTGCCCTTGACACTGGGGTTGTCTGCTTTGCCGTTAACGGAGTTTCCGAGAAAGACTGGCACTTTGTTAAGGACTTGAGCGACACTTATCCTTCTGTCATTCCTTGCTTTGGCCTCCATCCATGGTGTTATTCAGTGCCTTTCGTTTTCGGGTTAAGTTATTCGGCTGTGGATCAATTAACTGTCTTAAAGTTCTCCACCTGCAGGTTTATTGCGGAGAGAAGCCCCAGTTGGTTGAAGTCCCTCAAAGAATATTTTGATGCTACACCCTCTGCTGCAGTCGGAGAGGTATCTCTTTCTTTCTGTCCCCTTGAGGTTTGCCAAAATCCACTTGTTACAAGAAATTGGGTTTATTTGCATAAGGAAAAAAAAAAAGCTCTTGTTTGGATTATGGATTATGTTCTGTAAGCTAGTAATGGGGATTGCTGATTGGCAATATACATATATGTATATCTGTGATGACTGCAAAAGCTTGTTTAGTATTGACTCATTAGATGGAAGTTTTCACATGACGATTTTCAGGGACTTAATGTGTAACTCTGGTATTGTGTGCTTAACACTTGTTGCAATAGATTTTCCTCTTTTGGTTATACGTAATACTTCTAATTTATTTCAGATTGGTGTGGACAAAGGACCACTTGCAACGCATTCTAATTTCTCAGAACAGGTTTTTCCTTCTCTTTCCCCTCAACTGTTTATAAAGGTGTTTTTCTGTCAATGATCTTCATAGCTTCGTCGTCATCATCTCGGACCAATCTGCAAATGCTTCTATTTAGCTTTCCTTTTCTTAAAGATGAATATCTGCAAATAATCACTTCAATAGGAGAGTAGATGTTGTCAATAGCCCAATGAGGTTGTATATAAAGTAATTTCATGTTCTATTCCTTACTTTTGGGATATCGGCTACACTTTTTCCCTTATGCATCAAGACATCAATGTAGGTTGAAGTACTGCGGCTGCAGCTTGAGCTAGCAAAAGAATTGAACAGGCCAGCATCTGTCCACTGTGTTGATGCTTTTGATGAACTTCTTCAGCTGATGAAGTATGAATATCAATATCTCATATTACAAAACTTAGTTTAGTGACAATGACATTTCAATGATTATTCAAATGCAAAACTCTCTCTCCAGATGAGATTGATTCGGTGTGCGAAACAGAGTTCTCTTGCTATCATTTTAACCAATAGAAGATGCATTCTGTGACGCACTTCCGATAGCATCAATCCGATTCTTGATCTCATTGCTTACTTCTAAAGCATATTCCCTAGTTGTTTGAAACTCTTCTAATGTACAGTGTCATAAAAACTTCAAAATTGGCAGGTCCATCGGGCCATTTCCCGCTGGTGTCATCCTTCATTCCTACATAGGTTCTGCGGAGATGGTTCCTGAATTTCACAAGCTTGGGGCTTATTTTTCCTTCTCTGGGCATCTTTTGTTTCTAAAACCAGACAAGGCGGAGGAAATGCTGAAGATGGTAATTTTTCTAAACCTGGGTCATGTGATCAAATTTGATCTGTGTCATGTTATATATGTCAGAACCAAGGCTTTTCTTAAAATCTATATCCCATTTAGGTACCATGTGATAGGGTTTTATTGGAGACAGATGCGCCAGATGGACTACTGAGATCAAACGTAGATTCTCTGTTTCTCGTTGAAGGGGATCCTTCTCTCCCGCCGGACCTTCGTGGCCAAACCACTCTTTCCTCAAATTCTGGCTTCCCCATTGATGCTTCAACGTTGCCAAAGGAAACACTCAATCATCCAGCAAACATTCGCAACGTATGTGGCCAAAGTCCTCAAATTTTTAGCGATGATCCCAATCCCATGAGATTTTTCAGGGGTTGACTTGCATGCTTCAATCTAATGACTTTCTGCTAATCACATTCAAGACGCAATTTTGATGCTTTACAGCTGTTGTGTGCAGAGTACAACACGCAAAGCAGGGGATAATTGCTTTATTTAAGGTTCTCATTTTTTTTTTTTCCAATTTCACATGCAGGTACTGGGTTACGTTGCGTCCATGCTGGAGATTCCTAAAGAAGAACTTGCTGAATTAAGTTACCAAAATGCTGTCCGCCTATTCTCATATGAAGGTTCCAAACTAATCAAAACGCCAACAAAACCATAACAAAAGATACAATATATATATATATATGTATATATATTGAGCCGACATGTTAATGTGCGGCGATGGTTCGCTTGTATGTCCCCCAAATTTGGTTGTCTTTTCCTAAGAAGGATGTGTCTCGGGCAGGGCTTAGTCAATATTAATGTCAATTAAATTAATTACTTGTGGGTCCGGGGAGCATGAAAGTAAAGTGTCCATGTCAAACACCGGACAAATTTACGTCTGGGTGTTTGGGTAATGATTTTAAAAGTAAAATAAGGATATGGGAAAATTTTATTTCAATTTATGTAAAAAATATTATTGTGGAAAACTAAACACTCTCTAAATTTATGTATTCATAATATATCGAATTGTTAAAGTTGAGTCGTCAAATTGATGAAATGTACACCCTTCATATAGTTTTTTATAAGTTAATAAAATGGGAGAAATTTTTATTATCAAGATATGCAATATTACCAACTTTTATAAATATTTACCGTGACGCTTACAAAAATGCCTTCTATAAAATATCAACTCAACTATTATCCTTTTTCCTTTTCATTTTTCCATAAGGGACCATTATTGCTCAACTATTTATCATTACTGCAGCAAAATAGGACAGAAAATATTTTTTTAAAAAACACAAAACTGTACTAATGTTGATCTAATCCCAGCCTTATCACGATCAATAGTTTCTCATTCAATTGCTGACTTACTCATTAATCCCTCTCTCCCCTCTTCCAGAAAACAGAGATTGGCATACCTGGGAAATTTTTATATATTGAAAGCGTATTTCACAAGAACTTATCCAAGTAACTGTACAAACAGTTGTGAAGAAAATCCTTTTGCTCACAGGCAATGCATGGGAACTCATGCCCAGTGCCTTGACTCGACGCCATGAGAAGCTCCACCTTCGTAGAAAGCAGCTGAAAATCTGCAATAATTATCTAGTATATATTTCTTCTTAGCATCCTTATAGCTTATTCTACAATTACACCCAGGGATTATCATCATCAATTGTGCCAGTAATCACGTATTTATAATACTTATATGCATATAAATATATGTAAAAGAATAAATTATGAGAAGATGTTCATCCAATGATCTCTATCAATTCAAGAACTCATGGAAGAGTTTGAGGAATTTCTGCATTTCCTTGGGAGGAAGTGCCACCAAAACATTAACGCCACCGCCGCCTTCAGCCTCATCATCTGGGGGGAAAAAGAGGATAATATCCTTCCTGTGATACACCACTGGACAACTATACCTAGGCTTTCCCCATGGATACTCCACCTCTGCAAACCCTAGCCTCCACCACGACGACACCAGCACCTCACCGTTCGGAAAACCATGGTACAGCTCCCCCCAGTCTATCACCGATCTCGCGTACTCATCCGTCATTCTCACCGCGCCTTCACTCACCGTCTCCACCAACCGACCAAAGGGACCTCGCTTCAACTCCTCACACTTGGCCGTCGCATACGCAGTCAATACCGCGTTTCCGGCGTAGGCCTTCGGCAGCGGAGGATTCAGTCGCGACCTAATATCCACAGCATACAGCATAGTCGACGACCGATTCGGATCATCTCCCGCGGATAACGCCTTGC